TATATAAGTATGAAGATCGTTTGACATACAAATCGAAATCGTGATCAAAATTCAGTTAATTGCACAGTCTTACCAAGGACCAAGCAAAGGCTAACAAACACTTTAAGTTTGTGCTCTGGAAAGGAAAAATGAATGAATGAATGAATGTATGAATAAGTTTATAAATGCATTTTTTTGTACTCGATGGTCGGCTATCTGCTTGTTTCCAAGGTGATTTTCTTGCTAGATTATGCACCTTGAGGAAGGCCATGTTAACCCCAACCACATTATTTTATATCATGCTGTAGTAAAGGCTTTTTCATTTTTCTTAAACAAGAGAGAGCCTTGGATTTTTGTCCACAGGAATACTTAACACAAAATGCTGCTACATGCTGTACCCCAAAGACAAAGCTGTTTTCACTTGCAAAGAGCCACATCTATCTCCAACTGGTTTTATTCATGCTTACGTCACAAAACCAGCAGACGTTTGGAAACTTGCAAATCCAAAATCTGGGAAAACTGAGAAAATTACCCTGTTTACTTCATCTAGATGTCATTGTATTCTTTCTTTTTTCCTTTTATAAATTGCCTATTCATGTGTGTATTATAACTTGTCTAATTTAATAAATTTAAATTTATTGCAGTGTTCCGTTATGTTGGGAGGATTAACAGTTCCAAACAGCTGCCTGTAAATGACATGGAAGATGTGATTAGAGTCTTGTTCCCCATGGAAAGCTTTGGCAGGCTGTGAAGACGCTGCTGCTCAATCCATGGTTTTATCACATGCCCAGTGTCAGGAACTACACTGGAAGTCGCCATTTGGATGTTTCCAAATCTCTACAAGTTTTTGAAAATCTTTAAAAAGTCTATGAATCCATGTAGCACTCTTCATTCTTTTTATTCTAGATGTTTTTGCTTTGCCTGGTATGTTTTACAGTAAGGCCTTAAGCTTATTCATCTCCATGGAGACAAGCTAGTGGTCACCCTGCCGACTTACAGGCCAGATCTGTGGAGATGATTGAGGGTTTTTTTGTGACAAGACAACAAATAAAATGCAAGACAGATACTTTTAATGCCATACTCAGGAGCATTCTAGGCAAAGCACTAAAATCTCTGTGGTGACAAGCAGGTACAGGGAGGCAAGAGGCAGAGTTTCCATTTAATAACATTGGGCCTCATTCATGGAACAAATTTGTACTGAAGTCCTTCTCACAAACATTTTTGGTAATCACAAAAGCTTTTTCTTAACTCAAAATGTTCTTCTGGAAGAGCAAATCCTACAGACAGTCAGGAGCTCTCGTAAGAACAAAAATTCTACTGTTTTAGTATATTAATACTCTGATACTGCAACAAAAAATTCTAATTCCTCCATGACTGTTATATATTTTCTTACATTATTTGTATATGACTCTGTGATCCAAGAACATTTATGAGGAGTTTTATAGAGCATGTGTCTATTGGTCTAACAGACTTTCTCCAGGCTGCAGTGTGCCTCAGTCTGCCCCAGCCCCAATGCCTCCATATGGGCCTCTGTCACAACCCCCCTGACCCCCCCCCCCCCCCATCACCCCCTGACCCCCCATCACCAGAGCACACTCTTATGCACCCCCACCCCACAAAAGTGCCCGCTTATTTCAATAAGTTTATGACTTCAATATTTCCTCACTGAGTGTGCTCATATGAGTTTGGACATTTGAGATCACCGCTGAAGCTGTAAAACAGTCTGTAAATGCGCTCCATCTGACTTCCTCCTCACTCTCTCCCTCGTCCTTTCAAGTGTCATAATACCAAACCCATATTGACCATATATGGAAGTTCAGAGGGCGTTTCTAACTAAATACATATTCATTTTTCGATATGAATGAAATGTAAATAAGCTTGGAGGTGTTTGTATCTGGATGTTGGTGAATTAGCCCCAACTGTCACTTAAGAAGGAATTCGGCTGCTTCAGAACGCTTTATGAATCTAGTGAGTTCTCTCAGCATCTGCTTATTTTATGAATATTTATGTGAACATTAAGTTTTGAAAAGTTATGAACATTTTTTAAGAAACGATTCACGAATGAGGCCCATTGTACTTTCTCATGAAATATCCAAAAAGTTTATTCGCAAATCTTTAATGTAATCTTTTCTATCAGTGATTAAACTCATTAACTTGGTTTATTACAACAAAAGCCTACATTTTAACTCTATTTAAGTGACATTAACTGATAAGAATAAAAGCACAAATATTGTGTTTTCTGTCTAACTCTAAATCTCTGTAAGTTCCCTTTTGTACCAGTGCTGAGAGTTACTGCTATGGAGACTTAACTAAATTGTACAGCGCTGCTAGCCTCAGGTCTGGAGAGAAAAACCTCATATTAAACCTATTGTATAAGCAGCACTTGGCTCTGTGCTGCCTGTGGGGAAAATACAGGCTAACAATCCAAGGCTAAAACAGCACAGAGCGGCTCAGACCAGAGGAGGCAGAGTGGACAGGGAGAAGGACTGGAACGCCCACACTCTTATAACTACTGGCACCTTTAGTAAAAATAAACATAGGAGCGTGCCTGGAGGGGCTGTACGATTTTGGAATTGCAATTTTTATAGTGTTGAAAACATGTTTAAAAAGTAGGATTCTGTTCAGCATAGTGTTGTCAAAAGTCAGAATACAAAAAATCTGATACAAATCTATACCAAAACAAGCACTGAAACTAGATACTCATCTGAGCGAGTATAGATACAAAATGTCACATCCACGTTTCCTCAATGTTTTTAGAATGATCTTGAGCTGTGTCAGAACAAGTATAAGAGCACACACAGCACATACGCCCATGGACCACTATATACCTGGACCAGTGAGGGATTACACAGATATGAGGCCACATGGGAATAGAAAAGAAAGTACTACCATTTAAAGTGCCTATGACAGGTTAAACTACTAATTTAATTAAAACACAAGTTTAAAATTGTACTTCCTGGTTAGAAATTGTTAGCCTGATTCATCAGCCGGTTTCACTTCGTAGAATCCATGTGACGTTGCAGTGTTAGAATTCGTTCGCTCGACGGTAGGGGGGTATTTTTTATCATTTAGCCAATCGCTGCTATTTGGTAGACACATATGTAATGCGCCACGAACGGAGCTAACTGGTATATTAAGCTTTTCCAAAATCCCATATGAAGAAGGGCAATAACGTCTTTCCCCTTGATGAAATTCACCAAACATTCTCTTTAAATCTCTCCAGCTTTAAATCGTCGATCTCGGGAATCATTGACAACACTGAATATATGGCTTTTGGCTGATTGGCTGGTGCCTGAACTTGTACTTCCGGAGATTTTTGCGAACCGTCTATTGTATTTTGATTCCTGACCTAGTCGCTGGAGAGAAATAAAATTGAGCGGTGGCACTAGATGGCGCCAGCCACGCTAAGAAATCGTGACATCATACTTCCATAACTGTTAAGTAGCAAAACGTCTGTAATGAACACAGAAATTATAAACTGACAAATAGAAATATACAAAAAACTTTATTTTGTTTAATTAATGGTTTTGGTTTCAGAAAAAAAAAAATTAAGTGTATAATGTGGATAACTCATCCAAACTTGGATGCTTGGAGCTTGGATGAGCTGTGAAATGTATTCAACCAGAATAAACTTTAGTCCAGTTGACAAACTGAATTTCTCTTTGCCATAAATCAAGAAGCAATTTGTGAAGAAAAGTTGAAAGATATGTTGAAAATTACAGAAGGTTCTTAACACACTGATGACATCACACTAGCGAGCATTCTGTACAAATGTTATTCACATTTTACGTGTAAAAAACAATTTTTTTCTGAAACCAAAACCATCAATTGAACATAGACTCTACCTGGACTACTGAGGGATTTTACACACTTGAGAGAATTGTAAAAAATCTGTCACAAGCGCTTTAATATTTAAAATTACATTCTGTTGTTTAAAGAAAGTGTTTATTATCATCATGGTACTGGTATTGTTATTGAGTAACAAGTCTATTCCTATCGAAACGAAATCGAGTTTGAAAACAACAGAGGGATTAACTGTGAAAGAAGACTAAAATATAAACTAATAATCGAACAGAAGAATCAGATTAATTTCAGAGCATGTTTGTAGAGGTCTAAACTGCAGGTAAAATCTTGTTATATTTCCATAAAAAGAAAGGATACTTACTTTGTTCTTTGCAAAGGACATTCTATTTTCTTAATAATTGCAGCCTTTGCTGTTTGATAATTGCTGCTGCTCAAATAGTCCTTGTGTTACATTGTGCAGCCTTGGTTACTGTGAGGCTTTGACATGGCTGAGTGAAGTGCATATGATTATATCTGCTGTAAATATTTATCATAGTTTTATTTCAGTCAATTGGCAGTGTGTGAAGATGATTTAAAAAGTTGAAAATTACAGGAGCATCAAAAATTCCAAAAATATACACAGATGTTATCCAGAAGAAATAAATACTTGGCTAGAAAAGCAATAACCGTCCTCTTATTAAGATAATGTTCAAAGCATTTCTTATTTTTGCTTGTTTTGACAGCTTTGGAGCACAGTGCTGTCTAGAAGCTGTGAAACATGCATGTAATTAAAGTGTGCAAAAAATAATAAATAGAAATGAGTTTGGAAAGTCAAGAATTAGCTAAGGCCGTAGCTAACAGCTGCTTTCATGGTTATTACACAAGAGAATGGATGCTTTGTTCTTGAATGTTCCACACAATGGCATGAAAGATCAATTTCTATGGAGACAAGCATATATAACCACAGGCCATGTTGCAGGTCAGATCTGTGGAGAGGGGAGCCAGCTTACCATAAGAATGCATGTTTTTGAGCAATAAAAACATGTGTAATTGATTAATGAAGGATAGATAAATATGTTCAATGCCATACTGAGGTATAAGGCTGAGCAACAGAATGTGTGGGTGAGAGAAAATGTCTTGGTTTCAGCACAGAGCTGCATTCAAGAGAAGATTTGTATATGATATAGGGATTTTACCAAAACAGAGACAGTAACAGAAGATTTTGTGGTCAGACTCACCACTTGGGTAGATGAGGATAGTGACCGGGCAGTCATACGTGTACTTATCGGCCAGAGTGATGACCACACTGGTGGCAGAGCGCGCCAAAGGATCAGCATCTGCGCGGATGGCATGAGACGGGCTCTCCACACCTGAACCAGGAACCAGTGAACACAACACAATCGAGAGAAATATACTGTGTTACTAATCACACTATAGAAGTTCCAAAATCCATCTAAGAAAATATTAGACTGTCTGTTTATTGTTAGATTCAAAACAGGACTAGGCTAGGTCTAAATTAGGACTGAACCATGTCCAGAAAACATAAAATAAAGAAAACAAAAACATAAATATGTATCTAAATCAACATACACTAGAACTGCAGAGGCCTCAACTAACTTATGCAGTTCTCCAGCACTGATTCATGGACTAAACCACAGCAAAAAACAGGAGCTGAACCAAGGACTAAACCAGGAACTGATTTGTTTGTTAAAAAAATCCAAATTCACCCCTGTAACATTTTAACATTTTGAGCTTCATTAGATTGGCGCTGAATGCTGTGGGTGACACACTCGCATAGTCCACTTCTTTATACAGTCTATGGATAAAACCAGGGACTAAACCAGGACAAAAACCAGGGACTGAACCAGGGCCTAAACT